CTTGTACACTTTCTGCTTACCTTTTTCTCTACAGTCAATCAATACATGCATCTTGTTCCAACCTCAGCTCAGGCCCTGCTCCACCAGAAGCCTCCCCTGATCGTGGCATCCCCTCTGAAGCAGAGATTCCTTCTCTGGCTCCTAAAGCTTCTATTGCTCCCACTTTATTCGAACTGCCTGTCTCTCTCATTAGACTGTGGTCTCTGTGAACACTGTAAGTTCAAAAAAAAGTTCCCAGTGGTGTTGATTCATTAGATTGGTGTCTCCAGGTCACTATGCTATTGTGAAGAGCAAATGGTAAGTTCTCAGTAATTTTCCTACCTCAAGAGTCAACCTGAAGTTTCGCAAGAAAAGTAAAAGAGTCAAGATTCTGTGATATAACTGGCAGTAAATAAAGACTTAGAACTCAGTGATAGAAGGGGCTCTTGGGCACAGGAAAATGGAAATGTGTTTGAAAACTTTTAGGTGAAAGGTTGACAGCTGATAAGGCTGGGGAAGTTAAAGAGGCACGTACTTGCATTGTGTGTGTAGGAATAAAATTGGAATGAAAACAGGTAGTGTATGGCTCTGAAGGGCTTTATTCTTTTAAATATCTCAAGATATCTTGTATGTTGCTGGTACACAATCAATGCCTGGTAAGTAGTTATTGGATGAGCACAAAGGAACAGCAGAGACTAGGGCAAGAAAGAACTTTATATGTGTCTTGTCCAACGCCTTCCTAATGAATGAAAATGATTTTTCTGGCCTGGTGCGATGGCTCATATCTGTAATCCCAGCACTTTGGGAGGCCGAAGCAGGTGGATCACAAGGTTGGGAGTTCGAGACCAGCCTGGCCAATATGGTGAAACCGTGTCTCTACTAAAAATACAAAAATTAGCCAGGCCTGGTGGTGGGCAACTGTAGTCCAAGCTGCTTGGGAGGCTGAGGCAGGAGAATCACTTGAACCTGGGAAGCGGAGGTTGCGGTGAGCCAAGATTGCACTCTAGCCTGGGTGACTCTATCTCAAAAAAAAAAAAAAAAAAAAGAAAGAAAAGAAAAAGAAAATGATTTTCCTAAGTTTCAAAAAGAACTATAAAAATTTTTGTGTTTTAGGGCTATTGTTAAAAAATTAACTAGGACTCTATAGACCAAGGGTGAAGATCATTTTCTAAGCACAGTCAGAACTTGAATGGCAGAGGAAGAGGGCTTTCTTTACAAATGGAGGATGGGATGTTTATGTCAAAGGGTATGTTCCTTTGAATTTTTGAACTAATCTGGAATGGCCAGTAAGTTCTGAATCACAGTGGGAAATTCAGCTCACATCTTTCCCAACTGTGGCAAATTCCCCACATCCCATGCAGAAGTCTTTAAACACTGGATGGCCCTGGGTCTCTGCGATTGCTCAAGATTAGCCCTACTTCCATTTTTGTTTTCACGCCACAGTAGAGACTCAGGTTCAAGTCATATGACTAGGAAAGGCCACAGCAGTTTAGAACCATTTAGTATAGAACATATACATTTAGAAAAAACAACAAAGAAATCAACCAGCCAACCATGTTTTTGGCCTTGATATACCAAAGGAAGATTTAAAAAATAACTAAATTACTTATTAGTAATATGAATGTGTGTTTTGTTAACTGTCACTCAGAAAAATTATGTGTTTGTGAGTAAAACTGTTTTTTTCAGGAAATTTAAAAAAATTCAGTACCAAAAATATATCTCATGTAGGAACCAAATATTCAGCACTGAAACCTTGGTCTTTATTTTTTTTCTGTTTCAAAGAGGAGCAAACGACTAGTTGATTGGAACTTTGTCTAATGCTAAATTCTCATGATGAGCAGTAATGTTTATATCAGAAATACCAGTGGAATATTGTGCTGTTTATCCATTTGAGTGATGAACATGTGATCAAAAGGTGGCCTGTGGCTCACACTGTAAACACAGAACTTTGGGATGCCCAGGTGAGAGGATCACTTGAGCCCAAAGTTCAAGACCAGCCTGGGCAACGTAGTGAGATCTTATCTCTATAAAAAATAAAAAATTAGCCAGACCCGGTGTGCATGCCTGTAGTCCCAGCTACTTGGGAGGCTGAGGTGGGAGGATTGTTTGAGCTCAGGAAATTGAGGCTGCAGTGAGCTGTGATGGAACCACTGCACTCTAGCCTGGGCAACAGAGCAATACTCTGTCTCAAAAACAAAATGGTGGTTTGCATTAAGGGGAAAGAGAGTTAAGGTGTTGCAATGTTGTCTTGGTGCTAGCAACAACCTTGGCAAAGTTGTAGAGAACTTTCTTCAAAAGTGAGATCAGTCAAAGATTATAATCCTCTGAGATTTAAAGACAGGTTTCATGAAAAGAAACTGAATAACTGAAATCAGAGAGTGCCAACTCTCCCAGCAGGGCAAGCGTGAGGCCATATTGATGCTTAATTTTCTTTTGAATACTTTAAATGATAATTTGGATTTATCTGAGATTTAAACCTGATTGACAAAGCTCTTGAGGAGTTCTCGTAGGCTTCAGAAACAAGAGCTAATTGGGCAAGATAATACAGTCAATTTTGTTAATTCTTCAAGTATTACAGTTTCTTTTCTTTTTCTGTCATTTTGGGGGATAATTATAAAAGCAATAAAAATCAGATTTACAGACTAGAGTCTTTCTAAATGATTTAAATACTATTAAGAAATGACTGGGCAGCATTATAAAACCAGCAAGAATTAGAGCCTCAATAGGCTATTGAAAATGTAGAAATTTTTCATAAAAAATTCCACAAATTTTATAAAGTTTTTAGTATGCATTACTCCTGAGCATGACATAGAATTGTGTGACAAATCATCAATTGTCACTGAAATTATCATCACATGATAAAATGGAAAACTGCTATATCATTTTTGTTGATAAAGAGAGCCTTATTTGTATGTATTTATAGGCGATACTAGAAGAGGAAGGAATGAATTCAAGATTAAAAGAAAAACTATATTACTTATTTGGTAGTAGCTGTCAAAACACAAAAACTGTGTCCCTATTGACCCTACAGAAAGACTTGCACAAATGCACACAGCTGTAAGAACAAAACTGTTTCTGTGTGGTTTATCGTAGCAAAAATTACAAACACGTCAATGGTCCATAAGCTGGGAATTAATAAGATACATGATTTGTGTCCATACAATTAAATAGGTACATCTATGGCATAGATACACAAATGACTACCATATGTTTTTCATGAATTCATTCAAAAGATTATATTGGATGTCAATTACATATGAGGTCAAGATGCTAGGAATAAAAGATACTAGGGAATAGGACATGTGTGTGGAGAGAGAAAAGAGAAAATAAACAAGTGAGATAATTTCAGAAAGCTATCCTATCAAGAAATCCTACCAGGCAATATGGTGATGGAGAGTAATTTAGTCAAGGAAAGCCTGGATGTGACATGTGAACTGGCCTGAATGGTGAGGAGCCCTAGGATCCAGGAACTCATGTTCTAGGCAAACAGAAGAGCTTGTGCAATGGCTCTCAAGTGGAATGAGTTTACTGTGCTCAAGAATTGAGAGGACCCATGCAGCTGGCAGCACCTGAAATTGGAGAGGTGCTCCGGAGACAGATCATGGGAGATCTTTAGGCCACGGTGAGGAGCTTAGATGAATTCTACATGCAATGAGAAAGGACCCTCCTTTGTTGCAGGGTTCCAAGCAAGGCAGTAATATGATCTGATAAATGACATAAAAAGATTGGCTGGCAGTGCATGCCTTACGGGGAAGAATGGAGACAGGGAGGGGCATCATGTTAGAACTGTGAGAATCGAAGATGACAAGGTAGGAGTTGGTGTAAGAGATGACGTAAGAGTCAGAACTGTAAGAGTCAAAATGATGATGATTTGGGCCATCATTTGAGCTATGGGGATGGCAAAAAGTGAATTCATTTTGATTTTCTTTCGGGACATGACATTATTTAGACCCAAAGGTTCAAATCTTTTGATCTGGAACCACATCTGGGTTCTTAGACTGTGTGAAGTCTCATTTTCCCCTCTGAATATGGGAATGAATAGTGTCTGCTATATTTTTCAGGAGGCTATTGTTAAGCTTAAATAAGACAAACCCACTGAAGACGTTTGGTAACTATGAAAATGCTACGTAAATATGAGATATTACCATTATGAATTCAGAGAAATTCCACATGGAAAGCATGACCAGAATTGGGATTAGGGCTACTTCCATCCCCAGTGTCAAGAGTGGTAGCACTGACTACTTCAGTGTAACCTCTTGGCTCTCAGTTTCCCTAATGTAAAGTAGGTAGAAAGGCATCTTCTAATCTTGGTCAACACAGAACAGTGAAGTGAAACTGGGAGAGGATGAGCTAATTAGTAATTACAACAGAATTGACAAATAAGCTGCTAAATAAGTGATAAAGTGAATAAAATATTTTCCAATGTATCTCTGACATGCTGGAATGATTTCATTAAGCCAGCATTCTCCTAAGATCTCAATTCTTCCTGCCTCTTTCATTTAGCCTCTTTGGGTGCTACTTTCTTTGTCAGGCACTAGGGGAAAGATCAGGACGTTCCAGAAAACCAGGTTTTTAGTAATCTCTGTTTCTTTCTTTCCTTCTTCTTTTTCCTCCCTCTCTCCCTTCTTTTCTTTCTTTCTTTTTCTCTTTCTTTTTCTTTATTTCTCTTCTCTCTCTCTCTCTCTTTTTCTCTCTCTCCTTCTTTCTTTCTTTCATCGGGTCTTGCTCTGTTGCCTAGGCTGGAGTGCAGTGGCGCAATCATAGCTCACTGCATGCTCAAACTCCTGGGCTCAAGCAGTTCTCCTGCTTCAGCCTTCTGAGTAGCTAGGGCTACAGGTGTGTGCCACTATGCCTGCTTAATGTTTTATTTTTTGTAGAGGTGAGGTCTTACTATGCTGCCCAGGCTAGTCTTGAACTGCCCAGGCGAGCATTGACTCAAAGCAATCTTCCTGCCTTGGCCTCCTAAAGTGCTGGGATTGCAGACATGAGCCACAGTGCCCAGCCCAGCAACCTGCAAGTTTCTTAATCGAGAAACGGGAAATGGCTAGAACCTACAAGGAATGTAATTCGTTCCCTTCATACTTGAAGAACCACAGCTTCAGGGAAGGAATGAGAGCATTGGTCTTAGGCATAATTGTTGTGATCATGAACATATGACATGAAATGTGAGCACTGGCAAAGACATCCTGTCAATTCACTTAATATATTTTTTGATTGCCTTCAAGAAGAAGATATTGAAGGACATTCAGATCATGTTTTACAGCCAGTATTGGAAGTATTTTTAAACACTCCCCTCTCCTTTTTTTTTTTGGACGTGGGGCATAAGGAAGAAGGCACTTTTTATTTGAATGGCCAGGTGGTAAGTAGGGGAGGGAAGAGCTGTTTGATCAATAATGATTTATTAATCCAGAGGCCACATACTATAGTCATTTCTTCGGAAAAGTCTAACTGACGTCAATGACTTTGAACATGCATTCTGATTGCCTTTGCATTCAGTCTTATCTCAATTTCATCATACCACTAACCACCTCCTTTTACCTTCAAACAATGGCTTCACCAAGCCACTTCTGAGCAAGCCCCAGGCTTCCTTTCCTGGGGGAAAATTACCTCACTTTCCTGAAAACGTGTCCAACAGAAACAAGAGCACTTCTTTCTATGAAAAGCAGACAGCAATATTAACATTTGCCAATTTAGTTGGTGATTTGCTCAATTCAAGGACCACAGAATGTTTGTAGTAGGGCTAAATGTGTAGCCGGGTAGTTTTGGGGGAGGCTGTTTTGCTCTTGTATATATTTTTAGCAAGTGAGAAATAGTGATCTTTCATATAAAACAGATGCGTGGTTTGCACAAAATTAACATGATTTGTCCTTTGCTAGGCAAAATGGAAGTGGTGAGTGGTGCAGTATTTCAACTAAAAGATATATTATAGAACATTAACATATCAAGTTAGAAGAATGTTCTTTGCAAGCAAAAATATTGATTCATTAAAAAAACTTTTCAAAATAGAATTGTTCATAAGTTATTATTGCTGTTCCCATAAAAATATTTTCTGTTTAAATTCATAACAAACATTCTTAGGAGGCGAAATGTCTTTTCTATGTCCCATTTAACAATGTAATCACTTTGTTTTCAAAATCTCATTTTATTCCAGCTGGAAGATATATGATCTTGTTATACAAAACAATCACTTCATCTCTGCAGAGCCTTATTATTGGAATATATGATCGTAAGTTTCTACAGAGGGTGGGAAGCATAACCTTTGTCTAGTTTAGATTACTTGCCATGCAGCTGAAATCTTGTCTTCAGAAAGAATATATAGAAATTATTTCAATAACGTTATAAACACAGCTTGTATGTTAGGACATTACAACTTTTTTTTTGTTCATTTTTGTTTTTTTTTTTTAAATACAAATTCCAAAGTCTCATCTGTAGAAATTCTGATTTGAAGTAAGTCAGGAATAGGACCAAAGAATCCGCATTTTTGTTTTTTTTTCTTTTGACAAAGGATCTCCCTCTGTCACCCAGGCTGGAGTGCAGTGGCATAATCTCAGCTCACTGCAACCTCTGCCTTCTGGATTCAAGCGATTCTCCTGCCTCAGTCTCCTGAGTAGCTGGGACTACAGGTGGCCACCACCATGCCCAGCTAATTTTTTCATTTTTAGTAGAGACAGGGTTTCACCATGTTGGCCAGGCTAGTCTTGAACTCCTGACCTCAAGTGACCTGCCCATTCAGCCTTCCAAAGTTCTGGTATTATAGCCATGAGCCACGGTGCCTGGCCATTTACAGCTATAATAGAAATGTGTTCACTTGTATTATTCTGTGATGAGACTACTAAATACTATTACTATTACTATTCATAAGTGACCCATCCTAATTACACATGCTTAATAAAGATATGGGAAAAGATAGAATGGGAGAGAAAATTGTCGGTGTGTGATTTGACAAGGGGAAGTGTCACAGAGGTGTAGATGCTGCAGCTTGAATATGTGACCTTTACAAGGTCACTTGACAGGTGGTTCTGTGATGTTCCCGAAGACTCTGCAGATCATCACACATGAACACCACTGACCCAAGCTCCTCCTGCCTCTGTGTCTTTAAGATGCTCTTCTCTCAGACTAAAACCTTTCTCTTTTTTCTCCCTTTCCTCTGCCTTCCTCTGACAAAATCCTAGTAATAGTTCAGATCTTGCATCAGGCCACGCCTTCCCCTCAGGGCTCCTCTGAGCACCCCCTCCCTCTAATCCCTGCTGACCAGGCTGGGCTCCCTACTTCAGCTACCAGTACATGCGGAGCTGCTTCGTTTCTATCATCTACATGAAATTTATTACTGATTATATTCTCCAAACAAGGACAAAGATTGGTTTGTCACACCAGATTCTATACCCAGCTCCTAACACAGAACTGGGGAACAGTAGACAATTGAATGCATTGAATGCACAGATCTTTATTTTGTGTAGAATTCCTCATGATCCCTTTGTTACCAGGCTATCAGATATTAACTCAGCACTTACTTGTTTAGTTAGAAGATGGATAGTTAAAGAAGAAGAAAAAAAACCACCCTTTTCGTTTCCTGATTGTATCCTCTTAAACTTTTGGTTGATAGATATATTTAATAAAGATTCTAGTTTTAAGTGGCTACTTTATTTATTTAATAAAGACTCTTAAGTTCCCACCTAACTGAGAAGTTCAAAGTGTGAACTTGGGTGCAGCAGTTCATGCCTGTAATCTCAGCACGTTAGAAGGCCGAGGCAGGTGGATCAGTTGAGGTCAGGAGTTCGAGACCAGCCTGGCTGACATGGTGAAACCTCATCTCTACTTACAGCAGAGACGGGGCATGGTGGCATATACCTATAGTTCTGGTTACTTGGAAGGCTGAGGCAGGAGAATCACTTGAATCCAGAAGGCAGAGGCTGCAGTGAGCTAAGATTGCATCACTACACTCCAACCTGGGCAACTGAGCAAGACTGTCTCAAAAAACAAACAAACAAACAAACAAACAAAAACTCATGAACTTGGCTTTGGGAATGAATGGCTTCATATCATGCAATTATAAATTCATCTCTCTTGTTCTTCTTTTGTCACAGTTATCTTCTACGTTGACTTCATTCTCACGCAGAGAATGAAGAGCAGGCAACTTGAATTGTCTGTATAGAGGAATCCCAGGGAAAAAAAGAGAGACTTTCCCCTGTGAATCCTGTGCAGCTTCTCGAGTTCCTGACCGGCCCTGTGTGGGTCACATACCCATGCCAGGATCCATTTTTGTAGCCACAGTAGTGTAAAACTGGCCAATCTAGGAATCATGTTCACCTGGTGCAGGTAAGGAAGGATTCCCACAATAAAGACTAATTTGTTAGCTGAAAAATGAAGAAACGGAATATGCGTAGGCGGACAAAAACCTTCGCAACCGTGATTCCGTGCCAAGGAAATACGGGGCATCCTGGAGAATTGATCATCAGCACTGGTTCTGATCAGGCACCTTGATTTCACCTGCACGGTTTTTTTTTTTAGTAATGCATGGAAGTTAGTGAGAGAACACTTTAAACATTGCTTCTTTCATGTACTGACTTATTCTAATACAAAATGCTTACACCAAGATGTGAGGATACAAGAATGAACAGGACACACAACAGGCCCTCCCCTGATGGAACTTACATTCCATTGTGTGTGAGGTGGGCTGAGGGAAGTAGACAAAATTCAAAGAAAACAATAGATCATTAGAAATTGTAATGAATGCTGAGGGAGGCCAACTTGGGGTTAACTACCATTTCTATCAAGTGCTCTGTGTTCCCTTTTTTTTTTGAGACAGAGCCTCTCTCTGTCATCCAGGCTGGAGTGCAATGGCACGGTCTCGGCTCACTGCAACCTCCGATTCCCGGGTTTACGCAATTCTCCTGCCCCAGCCTCCAGAGTAGCTGGGACTACAGGCAAGCACCAGCATGCCCAGCTAAGTTTTGTATTTTTAGTAGAGACGGGGTTTCACCATGTTGGCCAGGATGGTCTTGATCTCCTGACTCATGATCGGCCCTCCTCGGCCTCCCAAAGTGCTGGGATTACAAGCGTGAGCCACCGTGCCCAGCCTCAGTGTCTCTTTTTAGGGAAGCTTACCCTATTTCTCCTATTTCAAATTACAGCTCACTCCATCCTGCCTCTCACATTTCCCCTTCTCCTCCCTTTTGTTCATAGCTCCTCTCACCTTCTTTTTTTTTTTTTTTTTTTTTTGAGGTAGAGTTTTGCTCTCATCTCTCAGGCTGGAGTGCAATGGCACAATCTTGGCTCACTGCAACCTCCGCCTCCTGGGTTTAAGTGATTCTCCTGCCTCAGCCTCCTGAGTAGCTGGGATTAGAGGTGCCCACCACTACACCCAACTAATTTTTTGTATTTTTAGTAGAGATGGAGTTTCATCTTGTTGGCCAGGCTAGTCTTGAACTCCTGACCTCAGGTGATCCACCCGCCTCGGCCTCCCAAAGTGATGGGATTACAGGCATGAGCCACTGCACCTGGCCTGCTCCTTTGACTTTCTAATGTACCCTATAGTTTATTTATAATTTACACATTAAGTTTGCATTTTTTTTTTTTGAGACAGGTTCTTGCTCTGTCACCTAGGCTGGAGTGCAGTGGCATGATCACAGCTCACTGCAACCTTGAATTCCTGGGCTCAAGCGATCCTCCTGCCCCAGCATCCTGAATAGCTGGGACTGCAGGTATGTATCACCATGCCTGGCTAATTATTATTATTATTTTGTAGAGATGGGGTCTTGCTATATTGCCCAGGCTGGTCTTGAACTCCTGGACTCAAATAATCTTCCCACCTCAGCTTCTCAAAGTGTTGGGATTATAGGTGTGAACTACTGCACCTGGCATTAAGTTTGCACTTTTTAAAGTCATCTGCCATCCCCCTCCATTAGACCGTAAACCCTGTAAGGGCAAAAATTTTTTTCACCTGGTACAGACAAGGAAGGATTCCCGGAATAAAGAGACTGTTATTTTCACTGCTGTATCTTCCAGTGCTGCAGACATAGTAGGTGCTTAATAATGAATGAATAAATGAAACAGAGAACAGAAGGGATAGGGATGAACTTTGGACATGGAAGACAGAGATGGCCTCTCTGAGGACATGAGATTGTGGGACATCAATAGTGAGGATGCATCCTTGAGATAATATGGAAGACAAATGCATGGAGTGCCTCCTGCTTCCAGTCCCTTGGGGACGCCTTCCTTGTCCCCTCCCCAGGTCATGGCTACGGTTACACACACTCATAGTATCCTGCAGTTTTCCTCCTTAGTGCAGTGTAGGTACTTGGATAATTATTTTTACATGTCTGTTTTGGCCAGGCACAGTGGCTCGCACCTGTAATCCCAGCACTTTGGGAGACCAAGGTGGGCAGATTACATAAGGTTGGGAGTTTGAGACCAGTCTGACCAACACGGAGAAACCCCGTCTCTGCTAAAAATACAGTATTAGCTGGGCATGGTGGCGCATGCCTGTAATCCCAGCTACTGGGGAGGCTGAGGCAGAAGAATTGCTTGAACCCGGGAGGCAAAGGTTGCGGTGAGCTGAGATCACACCATTTCACCCCAGCCTGGGGCAACAGGAGCAAAACTCCATAACAACAACAACAACAACAACAACAACAAAAGTTTGCTTCTCCTAATACTATAATCCCCACAAAAAGAGAAGGTACTTGGAGAATTCAAGAAATGAAACCATGACCTACGGGCTGCTGCTCCAGTGTGTGGTGAGCAGGGGGTGAGGGGGATGGTAAAGCTGGAGAGAGATTCAGGGGCCAGATCAGCACAGGGTCTGTGGCTTGTGATAAGGAGTTTGAATGTTGATTCCAGTGTGATGAAAAGCCACACTGGATTGCATGGTTCTGAAAGCGAGGCAGCACAGGACCTGAGTTAGGTTTTCACCTAGTGTTTCTTGAATCAGTCCAGAGCCATTTTCCCTGCCCAAGCCACCTTCACTTCTCACTGGAATGACGTGTCATGAGTTTTCCCTCATCCACCGGTGTCCCTCTGCAATCCTCTTCCCACACACCAGCACTAGAGGTCAAGTCTGGAGTCACTCTGCTGGAATCTGGACGGGCTTTGCATTATTCCTAGGGTAAAGCCCAGTCATCATGAGCCCTGCAAGGGAGCCCAGGGATATCTGTCTCTCCCGCTGGTCTCGTCTCCAGGGCTCCGTCTCTCCGGCTCACCGCTCCACAGCTGCGCTGGCCTTGCCGCAACTGCCGGAACCCACCAGCCTGCTTCCTTCCTAGAACGTCCCACATGCTCCGCCCCTGCGTCCTCCACACCTGCTAACTGCCTCCTTCTGCTTCCGGTTTGTAGAAACGTCACTTCCTCAGGGACACCTTCCTTGCCCCCTCCCCAGGCCGTGACTGTGGCTACACACACGCAGAGCACCTTGCACTTTTCCTGCTTCATGTTGTGTAAGTACTTGGATAATTATTTTTAAATGTCTCTTTCTCCCAACACGACAATCCCCACTGGGCTGGGACTGTGTCTTCTGATTCGCCGTCTAGCACTGAACTGATTCTCGGTGCTTAATATATATTGATTGACTGACGGAGCAAATTAAATAGGACCGTTTAAGCAACACCCAATAGATTTGCCTTTTAGGCTGGGTGCAGTGGCTCAATTCCAGCACTTTGGGATGTTGAGGCAGGAAGATCGCTGGAGCTCGCGGGTTCGAGACCAGCTTGGGCAACATAGGGTGTTCTGGGTTCACTATTTAAAAAAAAAAAAAAAAAAAAAAAAGCCAATGCTTGAGCCAGGGAAGTTGAGGCCGCAGTGAACCATGATTTCACCACTGGACCAGCCTGGGTGACAGAATGAGATCCTGTTTCAAAAAAATAAACAATTACAAAAAAGATTTGCCTTTTAGTTCACTCTACACCTTTTATAGTCATACTCATTGAGTCTTGTTCTTTCTGCCATTTTCCTTCAGCATTCTTTTCTTTCTTTCTTTTTCTTTTTTCTTTTTTTGGTTGAGACAGAGTCTCACTCTGTCACCCAGGGTACTGGAGTGCAGTGGCATGATCTCTGCTCACTGCAACCGCCACCTCTCAGGTTCAAGCAATTTTCCTGTCTCAGCCTCCCGACTAGCTGGGATTACGGGTGTGCGCCACCATACTCGGCTAATTTTTGTATTTTTAGCAGAGACAGGGTTTCACCATGTTGGCCAGGCAGGTCTCAAACCCCTGACCTCAGGTGATCTGCCCGCCTCGGCCTCCCAACCTGCTGGGATTACAGGCCACCGCGCCCAGCCTAGCATTGTTATTTTCTGATTTGTCGTGCTTTTTTTCTTCAATCTGTTCCAGTAGTCTTTCTTCATCCACTTCCCTCCCTCTACCCCCACAATGATAACGCAATGTCTTATGTGAGGACTTCTCAGGGCCACCTGTCTCCAAGAGGTGGCAGTGCTACCCTCACCTCTTCCTTTTTGCCTTGGGAACAGTGTTCCTCCTGTCACCAGCAGTCAGGTCAAGCCCTTCACCAGGTCTACCACTGCAGAACTCCTATTCCAGAATAGATAGATGGCTTTTTAAATTATTATTATTTGAGATGGAGTCTTGCTCTATTGCCAGGCTGGAGTGCAGTGGTGCGATCTCGAATCACTGCAACCTCCGCCTCCCAGGTTCAAGCAATTCTCCTGACTCAGCCTCTCAAGTACCTGGGATTACAGGCACGTGGCACCACACTCAGCTAATTTTGTATTTTTAGTAAAGACGAGGTTTCACCATGTTGGCCAGGATGGTCTCAATCTGCCTGCCTAGGCTTCCCAAAGTGCTGAGATTACAGGCAGGAGCCATCGTGCCCAGCTGATGGATGGCTTTTTAATGCTAAGGGAAGCGACTCCCTCTGGAATTCTAGGTGTTTTATAGAGATCTCCTCACCCTCAAAGTCCAGGGAGAAACTTGACAGTAGGAAGACAGTAAGCGACAACAGCGTCATCCATTGGGATGGCTCAGGCAGAAGTGGTGTCTGCTAGTGTGAGACTCTTTCTCATGAAAAAGCCAAGCCAGGAAAAGGTGAATGCACTGTGGCATGATAAGGCTAGGGTCATTATTTCTCAAGGAGTAAAGTCAAAGTCATCATCATAGGAAGCATAAGTATTCCTCATGGAAACTAGATTGGAGGGCTGTAGCTTTAGCAGTCGG